AACAAGACCCCAGCTTGGCCTATTCACTCAACTAGACCAAAGGTAGAGCATCTAGGAGACCGCCAGCTTGGGCCAGAGCCCAATATAGAGTCACTCACACGCCACTCCGCCAGCCGACGACCTTGTTTTTGTAGCAGGCGATTTCGAAGCGCTTGCCGCCTCGCTTCATCCGTACAACAGCCACATTGGTTAGGCGGATCTGGTTGGTGGGGGTGAAGATCGACATTGTTGCTGTTTACAGACCTGGTCCGAGAACCAGGGCGGATCCGCGCCGCCAGGCCGAAGGGCCACCAGCCCTCGTTGAAATGACCCGGCGGCGCGCGGCTCTGTAAGAACTGCGAAGTGCGTAGCGCCCTAACTCGGCCAGGCCATCCGTCACAAGGAACCGACTGCGCAAGCGGCAGATGGTGCGGAAGCGGGGCAAGTGAAACAGAAACCACGCCTGCGCGTTCTGTCTTTTTACGGCATCTTCCCACGCCTCGAAGGGAAGGCGCTCTTCTCTGACGTCTTTTACTTCTGCCAGTGAGCTGAAGAGCTTGGCGAGGCGGGTGCTGATATTTAGTGACCGGGTGGAAACATAGTATAGGCACCACATAGTTCCGCCGAGTTCAAGGAGCTAGGCCCATTTAACTTTTTATTATGGAAAAACAAATTTTTTAAAAAGAGATTTACTTAAATTATTGATTAATATTTGACCAGAGAGGGACAGAGTGAGTGAGCGAGAGAGGGAGAGAAAGGGAAAGTGAGAAAAAAAGCCACCAGGTCTGGGACTGTGAATCACAGTGACCAGTGGGAGTCCAACGCCCTTAACCACCACACCACCTGCCAGCCCCGGTAAAGAGATTTTTTTGCTATAGGTGCGTGGGCTTGCTGGAGAGACAGAAAGAAATGGAGATATCACTCCCCATGGGGGATGGCCACACAACAATCCCTTCTTCATTCTGCTCTAGAGATTTTGGGGACATTAGCACATGCCCCTGGCGAGCGTGTTTTTTAAATTTCATTTCATCTGTTATCATCATTATTATCTGTTTCTACTTTAGCCAGAAAGAAAGAGAGAGAGGGACTGAAGAGAGAGAAAAGGAGAGTGAGAAAGCCAGCCATCAAAGCAAGGACTTGAACAATAGTAGGCCCCATGGGAGTCTAGTGATTTTTAACTACCACGTCACTTACTGGCCCTATTGGGGCGCTTGAGTTTTAAGCCACAGGGCCCAGGACTCCAACCGCAGTCAACTACATGAGAGTCCAGCCACATAACCATTATGCCATCAGCTGGTCCCTTGAAAAGCTTTAAACATGAAAAGGAAAAAGTGTAAGGCATCCTTAAGTACCCATCATCCCTGCTTCAAAATTATAACCGTTTTGCCATTTTTATTTTATTTCCTCTTCCTCATTTTTTGTTGGAGTATTTTAAAGCAAATCACGTTTTTACCTTTGAATACTTGTCTATATCCCTAACAAATATACATGAGATCAGATCGTATATCCAGTCCACACTTGAAATTCTCAGAAATAATACCGTTGTACAGTCTGCTTCTGCCAATCTATATTCTAAATAGGCCCACAGATGGGACCAGCAGGTGGCGTGGTGGTTAAGGTGTTGTACACTCCCACATGGCCGACCACGGTTTGAGTCCCAGATCTGGTGGCTTGCTTTCTCACTTTCCCTCCCTCTCTTTCTCGCTCTCTCTGTCTCTCTGTGGTCAAATTAAAATGAATGAATGGATAAATAAAATTAAATACATAATTCTTTAAAAAAAGCTAAAAAGAAAAAAAATAGGCCCACAGATTGCATTAGTTTATTCTTTTCTTTAATACAATGGCACACTGCCCTCACCCGCCGCTATTTTCCCAGACCACTACTTTCTGGCGAAGGTTTTCGGACCCGCTCCTTCTCATTCCGAGCCAATCCCAGCGAAGCCGGAAGCGCTCCTGTTCTGTTGCCTGGAGCTCTGGGCGGTTCTTTCCTCTAGGCCCGCCTTCTTTCTTTCTTAGCCAATCCAAGCAGGTCCCGGAGCGCTCTGGCTTCCTCTCTGAGGGTTTTAATTGGTTCTTGACTCTGAACCCACCTCTTTTCAACTTGAGCCAATCAGAGTAAGGTCTGGAGAGATCCAGCTTCCTCTCCCAAAGCGCGGGGCTGCCCTCGGACCCACCCCTTTCCCCTCTGGACCCACCCCTTTCCCGTCTGAGCCAATCACAGCAGGGTCTGAAGAGCTTCGGCTTCGTCTCCTGAAGCTCGGCTTCCCTCTGGGTTAGCCCTTTTCCTTTTCAGCCAATCCTTAAGAGCCCGCGAGTAGCATGGCTGCCCCTAAGTTCTCCGGCTCAGGTCACACAGCTAAAGGTGCGAGGTAGCTGAGGCCGTTTCCAGGTACCCCGCGAGCCACCAGGCTTTCCCGATCCGAGCTCCTAGATTATTGTCGGCCCGCGGGGCTCTGAGGAATATGGGTAAGGGCCCCGGCAGACGAAGATCGTGGGGCGGGAGGGGAGGAAACCGTTTTACTGAGACCCTCTCCTGACGGAGTGGCGTCCTTGTAGCCTTCGTTCCGAGTTGATTGCACTTGTCAGCGCTGGACAGCAGCCGCTGGGAGCAAGGGAGGACGATCTCTGCTTTCGACCTGGCTTTTTGACTTTTGAGACTAGGGAGTGAATTTAGAAGGAAAGTACGCTTCTAACCCCAAAATAAAAGGCAGAGAAAACTGCTCCTCTTCCTCACGTGTAATGGGACTTTTGTTCTTTTCCAGGGTGGAGCTGTACCTAATAAACTCTAAATTTTAGTCTCTATCTTTTGAAATGGCTCTCAGGTCCAACATTTGAGGCCGGGTCCGTGTTTATCTATTCAAAAAATGGGGCGTGAGGTCAGTTATTTGAATATCCTTTACAAGAAGCTGTGGGTTTTAAACAATACAATTAAGAAAAAAAGGAGCACTTTCGCTACTGTTTTTAACTTTTGTTATGAAGCAAACAACAAAGCAAAATAACTTCTTAGTTTCCACATAAAGTGTTTTAATTGCATGTTCCCTTCCAAATGCTTATATCCAAATGAAGGCGCAGTTTCATATATATATTTTTAAGTTAGCATTATCATTGTGATGATTTTTGTCATATTACTACTGTTATTTTTATTGGAGTTGGTTTTTTATCGATTTATCAGCCAAATTGTTAAATATGAAGTTTTTTTTGATTCTTAAAATAAGAATGGCCATCTTTTTGTTTTAACAATTATTTTTATTTAACATCATTATTAATATTTGTTTTAATTTGACCCCAGAAAGACACAGAGAGACAGAGTGAGAGAGAAAGTAGAGGGGCCGGCAGGTGGCGTGGTGGTTAAGGGCGCTGGACTCCCAGAGGGCCCAGCACAGTTTGAGTCCTGGATGGACCTGGCAGCTTGCTTTCTCACTTTTTCTCTCTCTCACTCTTGTTCTCTGGTCAAATTAAAATAAATGGATAAATGAAGTTAAGTAGAAATAATTAAAAAATAAAAAGTGAGAAAGCAAGCTGCGAGGTCTGTGCAAACTGCTGTCAGCCATGTGCGAGTCCAGTGTCTTAACCAGCATGTCACCTACTGGCCCCCAAAATGGACATCTTTGTAAATACAACCTTAAACAAAATTTAATGTATGTGTCATTTTCAATTTAGATCCTTTGGATACGTGGGACTTCTCCTCACCGTTAACGTCATTATGGATAAATCGGTTTTACATTTATCTGGGCTTTGCCTTTGGCATTAGCCTTTGGATTTGTGTTCAGATTGTCATCAAAAAGCAGGTGAGTGGAGTTATTATTATTTTAATTTAACTGAATTTTTTAGGTTTTTGCCATAGGGCATGTGTGCTCTCTGCAGAGAGACAGAGGGAAAGTGAGAAATATACCCCCAGGGGGATGGCCATGTTGAAATTCCTGCTCCTCCTAGGATTTTGGGCACATATGCACATGTATCTGGCATGATTTTCAAGCCTCCATGTCCAGGACTCGAACTGTGGTTGGTCATGTGGGAGTGCAGTGCCTTAACCACCATGCTGCCTGCTTGTTGCATTATAATAATTATTTTTTTGCTATAGGGTGCATGTGCTTGCTGGAGAGACAGAGAGAAACAGAGAGGCAGAAAGTGAGAAATCATCCCCCCAACCCCCACCCAGGGAGACATGGCCATTCTGCAATCCGTCTTCCATTCTCCTCCTGGGATCTTGGGCACACACAAACACCTGCTCCCAGTGTGAGTTTTAACCTACTGAGTCAGGGACTTGAACCATGGTCAGCCATGTTGGCGTCCATTGATAAAACCACTACGCCATCTGCTGGCTTCTTTCTTTGTTTTTTAATTTGCTGGAGTGCAAATGTGCTTGTAAGAGAGAATACCATCAATGGAGAATTGATCCCTTCTCCTCCATTTCTCCCTCCCTTCTAGATTTTGAGCATTTATTCACACACGCCTGCTGTATTTTTTAGCTGCCAGGTCTGGGATTCAAACCACATAGCCATGTGGGATCCAGGTGCTTAAACCAGCATATCATAGGCTAGTGCCAGATTTTCTAAGACTTTCAGAAAAATAAAGAAAAGCTAAAAGCTATATATTAACTAAACTTTATACTAAAGCTAAACTTTATTTTTTTAAGAATTATTTTATTGAACTTTATTTATTTATTTGTTTGTTTGTTTGTTTTAATTTGACCAGAGAGGGACAGAGCGAGAAAGAGAAAGGGAGAGAGTAGAAGTAAGAAGGCAAGCCACCAGATCCAGGACTTGAACCATGGTTGGCCATGTGGGAGTCCCAACCTCCCACCACCATGCCACCTACCAGCCCCACTAAAACTAAACTTTTTAAAAAAATTTTATTTATTCATTTATTTATTTTTAATTTGAGAGAGAGAGAGAGAAAGAAGGGAAGCGAGAAAGCAAACCACCAGGTCCAGGACTTGAACTGTGGTCAGCCATGTGGGAGTGTCCAGTGCCTTAACCACCATGCCACCTGCTGATCCCCAAAGCTAAACTTTTTAAAAAAATTTTTTAAATTTATTCATTCATATTTTAATTTGACCAGAGAAAGACACACAGACAGAGGGAAAGTGAGAAAGCAAACCACCAGGTCTGGGACTCAAACCATGGTCGGCTATGTGTGAATGTCTGGTGCCTTAACCACCATACCACCTGCTGGCCCCCACTAAAGCTAAACTTTAAATTTCTTTCATATTTCCAGTTTTTAGGGACTAAGTTGTCATGTATTAAATAATTTACTTTCCTTCTGAGGGGTTGTGGGCATTTCAGTCTTAACTCATAAGAAGATACGTGTGTGTGTATTTAATTTGACAGAGCTTGTGCTCACCAGAGAGAGAGAAAGAGGTAAGTAAAAGGAAAAGCACACCCGGTGAGGTGTGGTCATGTTGAAATTCCTTCTCCATTTCTCTATCCTTCTGGATTTTGGGCATGTACACACATGTCCTTGGTGTGGTTTTCAAATCACCAAGGCCAGGACTTGATCCTCCTGTTGGCCATATGGGATTAAACACTAGCCTATAGATCTGACCCACAAAAAGATTTTTGTAATGAAAAAGAAAACTTTTATATTAAAAAAAAATCTGTTTTGCATCTTTGAGGGATAGCAGTTCTCTCTTCCTTTCTAATACTAAGGTCCAGAAAATAAGTTCTTACTCTTATTCCACTAAAACATTATAGATGAAAATATGTACAGGAGTCCCCCATTATCCATGGGGATAAGTTCCAAGACCCCCAATAATGCCTGAAACCATGAATGGTACTGAACTCTATATCTTCTATCTTTTTTCCTTTACATACATCTGTGAATAAGTTTAGTTTA